AACTTCCACGGCATACAGATAAAGTCTCAATCAGGTAAAAACAGGATACAAGCTTCTACTTATCACTTAGGTATCCCACTGGAGGAAAGCGTCTTATTCACATTACCATCATTTCTCTGGGATGAAGTTTTAGGAAGCCACAATCACATATTTAGTTCAATGAATGTCTAATTATCATCTACCACATGCAAGGTATGCCTCCACTAGAAAAGTAGCAAACCACAACTTTTCTCCCCTTTATTTTTTAATCACAAAAACAAGCAAACATAGTGAATACTATTAGTACATTAAAGATGCCTTTAAAAATTAAATTTTTGCTGGGCAAGGTGGCTCTTGCCTGTAATTCCAGCATTTTGGGAGGCCAAGGCAGACAGATAACTTGAGCCTAGAAGTTTGAGACCAGCGTGGGCACATGGTAAAACCCCATCTCTACAAAAAAAACAGAAATTAGCGGGGCATAGCGGCACATGCCTGTATGCCTGTAATGCCAGCTACTTGGGAGGCTGAGGTGCGAGGACTGCTTTAGCCGGGGAAGCAAAGGTTGCAGTGAAATCACACTACCACATGACAGCCTGGGTGACAGAGCGAGACTCTGTCTCACAAAAAAAAAAATGAACTAAATCTTTACAAAATGTTTTCAACTGTGCTATTTACCATAATTAGCCAATATGTATATAAACAACAAATCACAAAGAGTCTGACAGTTTCATTTCTAAGGTGTAAGAAAAAATTATAATAAACTACAAGGCCCGCTACCAGGCTCATGCCTGTAATCCCAGCACTTTGGGAAACCAAGGCAGGAGGATCATGAGATCAGGAGCTCAAGACCAGCCTGGCCAACATGGTGAAACACCGTCTCTACTAAAGGTGTGGTGGCACACTCCTGTAATCCCAGCTACTCGGGAGCTGAGGCAGGAGAATCACTTGAACCCGGGAGGTGGAGGTTGCAGTGGGCTGAGATCTTGCCATTGCACTCCAGCCTGGACAACAGGACAAGAATCCGTCTCAAAAAAAAAACAACAAAAAACAAAGAAAAAACTACAAGGGGAACAACACACACTGGGGCCTCCTGAAGGGTGAAGGGGATCAATAAAAACAACAAATGGGTGCTAGGCTTAATACCTGGGTGATGAAATAATCTCTACCACAAATTCTCATGACGTAAGTTTACCTGTGTAACTAACCTGTCCTGGTACCCCTGAACTTAAAAGTTAAAAAAAAAATAAAGAGGAAAAAGAAACAACGAGAGAATAGGACTTTTACAAATCCCTAACCCACAGAGTATTTCAATAAGGATAGATACCAAAAATGTCATCAAGTTACCAGCTTGGAAATTAGGCTCTATTTACAACTCCGTCACTAGTAAACTACATGACCCTGAGCCTTTGGAGAAAAGGAATTGTACAAAATAGCTTTAGAGTCACTGTTTAGCTTCTATAATATTGTAAGTCTAAAGCTTCAAAAACTCTATTAAGAAATAGTATAGCCTTTGAATTAATCATTCCACTTGTGAAAACCTATAAAAAGAAATCAGTTTTTTAAAACTTATATACCAACAATAAAAGCTACAGGCACAAAGATTTTCACCAAGATACACAGAGCACATACACAGTTTAAAAAAAAAAAAAAAAAACTGGCCAAAAACTAAATATCCAAAAAGTAATTACATCTGACAAAGTCCATAAGTCAGAAATGTGAATTTCATACACAGCTTTACTGATAAATTTCTCCTTATGGAAAAAAATGATCATTACCTCTAATCCTCTGAACTTTCAAGGGACTCACCTATACAGTGAGGCTACGTTATAAGGCAGAAATGGTATCAGTGTATTTAACTTTAGAAAAGTGCCCATCTAGGCCGGACCCAGTGGCTCATGCCTATAATCCTAGCACTTTGAGAGACTGAGGCAGACAGGTCACTTGAAGTTAGGAGTTCATGACCAGCCTGGTCAACAGGGTACAACCCCGTTTCTACTAAAAATGAAAAATTAGAGGCTGAGACATAAGAATCACTGGAACCTGGGAGGCGGAGGTTGCAGTGAGCAGAGACTGTGCCACTGCACTCTAGCCTGGGCAACAGAGCAAGACTCTGTCTCAAAAAAAAATTTTTTTTAAAAGGCCTGGCGTGGTGGCTCATGCCTGTAATCCCACCACTTTGGGAGGCCAAGGTAGGCAGATCACCTGAGGTCAGGAGTTCAAGACCAGCCTGGCCAACATGGTGAAACACCATCTCTACTAAAAATAAAAAATTAGCCAGGTGTGGTGGCATTTGCCTGTAGTCCTAGCTACTTGGGAGGCTGAGGCAGAAGAATCACTTGAACCCAGAGGCGGAGGTTGCAGTGAGCCAAGATTGCGCCACTGCACTGCAGCTTGGGTGACAGAGTAACATTCCATCTCAAAACAAACAGAAAAGTGTCCACTCTGGGGGCCAGGGGGAGGGAGAGCAACAGGAAGAATAGCTTAATGTATGCTGGGCTTTAATACCTAGGTGTTGGGATGATCTGTGCAGCAAACCACCATGGCACACGTTTATCTACGTAACAAACCTGTACATCCTGCACGTGTACCTTGAACTTGAGAAAAAGAAAAAAAGAACAGAAAAGTACCAACTCTATATATACATCCACATCCTCTACAGGCCCAAGACTTGCTGTAGTTAAGAGTCCACATACACTATACATTCAGTATCCATGATAACTGGGCAAACCCTTTCTGTAAAATCTTATCCAGTCTTCTAATCCTGTTTTAAGATAACTCAAAATGTATTATAACCTTTCTAATGGGAAATTAATAGTTCACAGGAAAAGAATACAAGCAATTTTTACCTATAGAGTAGAATAGTCGAACTGCACAGTAGTTGACTTGCACAGTAAACTAATAAACTCATGCCTGTACAAAGTCATTTGTAAGACGCATCCAGGGTAAGAGGAGATACGAGTCTTTGGAAGGTGTATGTGATTGGTCCCCATTTTCCCAGCCTTACCCTGTGATTTCCTCATGTCTTTGGTGGCTAAAGCACGACTGCCATGCTGAACACTGGTGAACTCAGGGCTGGTCACATTGTTAACCCTCAGCTCTTGCCCCAACGACTTCCGACCATAAGTATTTTCCCCAGATCCTCCATTGACACTGTAGCCACCTACAAACGGCAATGTTTACGTTATTTAAATATGGCTCTTTGTTTCATTCAGTCAATTCGTGATAGCTCAGGGTCTAATCACTCAATCTGCAACTCAACCAGTTTTTGCTTCTCCTACCTTTTTCCTGTGTTGTATGCCTTGCAATCATTTTGATTTCTTTTTAATATACTTTAGAAGTTAAACTAATTTCATTTTGATCCCTTCATTGGAAAGTAAGCAGAAAAATGAAAACTGAATTAAATCAAATTTTGCACCTTGTTTAAAAAATTCCTCCTGCAGGGCGCGGTGGCTCAAGCCTGTAATCCCAGCACTTTGGGAGGCCGAGGCAGGTGGATCACAAGTTCAAGAGATCAAGACCATCCTGGTCAACATGGTGAAACCCCGTCTCTACTAAAAATACAAAACATTAGCTGGGCATGGTGGCGCGTGCCTGTAATCCCAGCGACTCAGGAGGTTGAGGCAGGAGAATTGCCTGAACCCAGGAGGCGGAGGTTGCGGTGAGCCGAGATCGCACCATTGCACTCCAGCCTAGGTAACAAGAGCGAAACGCTTTCCCAAAACAAAAAACAAAAAACAAACAAAAAAAAACAACTTCCTTGAAGTTTAGAGGAGAGACAGTAGCCAAGGAACGTCAACCTCAGCTGAATATTTTGAAATCAAAAACAGTATTGTATCTCTTTTGTAAGAAAGCTGCATTTATGAATTATGTAGGAGAAAAAAATTCAAATTTTAAAAATAATAAAACAGATAAACTTCCTATGAAGTTTTCAGAAATAACACTGCATTTGTTATTTATATTTTAGACATATTAGAAGTGATAAAGTTGAGGTGTAGGAAGGCAGGAGGGTAGGATACATAGGTAAAAAAAAAAAAAAAAAACACATGCTTGTAGCAATAGGAAAATATATATACCCTTTTCGTCATTCTGTATGTCAGCATGAACTCTGGTATCATCATGCCTTTGCCGAGACACCACAGCTGAATTTGAAGGTTGCAGTCCATAAGAGGAAGAACCACCTCTATCTCTGGATGAAGAATATTTTAAATTATCTGGGTCGGCTGATGCACTATCAGTTCTATAAAAAGAGAAAAGTATAAGATTAGAACTTCAAATAACACAAATATTTCTTTATACAAGCCTCTCTATTCTCCCAACTTTTGCATTTAACCATTACTATTATATTTAGTATAATAGGTACTACACATTATATGTAAGCATTCAGCTGTCTAATAAGAGGTCTTTCACTGGGAAGAGATTCTCAATGGATGAAATGCCAACTTTTCAGTCTCTTCTGTTCTAAAGACTCGTTCAGAAATATAAATACTACTGGGATTAGGGTGACTTTGCTGGTTTTAGGCACTGAAAGTCTCCTATCCTAAGCAAAACGAGACAATCGGTCACTCTGGTGCAGAGTTCTCCTCACATGACTTGATAGTAAGAATAATTCTTTCTAAATTCTCCCACCTCGAGTGGGTTAATCAGTCAAAAAATTTCAGTCTTTCCTGTCATAAAAATAAAAAACACTGGCAGCATGTCAGGGAGGAGCAATGTCTTACCAAGTTAGATGTTCTAAGTACTGATTATATTTAGGTACTGTAGTATTGAAGGCCTCACTGAAGATGCCTTAACTGTAAAAAGTAGCAATCAAAATTTTAAAAAGTAAAAAAGAAGACATTTTAAGAAAATAAAAAGTAAGGTACCAGAAATCCAAAATCTATAATGGAAAGTTGTGGTTCATAATCTATTTAAAATTTATGTAGTGTTTAGAATAATACCTGATGCTTAGATAAGCAAACAAGTGGGGTACAGCCAAGGGTAAAAGCATGTCCTTATCTAAGTATCTGCTCTATGCTTCAATTGCCTCATAAGTAAAACAGAGCTGAGTTAAAAGACTTCTTGCCCAGCACAGTGGTTGACACCTATAATGCCAGCACTTTGGGAGGCTGAGGCAGGCAGATCATGAGGTCAGGAGATCAAGCCCAGTCTGGCCAACATGGTAAAACCCTGTCTGTATTAAAAATGCAAAAAAATTAGCCGGGTGTGGTGGCAGGCACCTGTAATCCCAGCTTCTTGGGAGGCTAAGACAGGAGAACTGCTTGAACCCGGGAGGCAGAGGTTGCAGTGAGCCAGGATCATGCCACTGCATTCCAGCCTGGGTAACAGAGCCAGACTCTGTCTCAGGGGGAAAAAAAAAAAAAAAAAGACTTCTCATGAGTCTTATTCTTCCAGCCATCAATGATAAACTACTAAGAAGAAAACACAAAATACTCTATTGTAGCATATGAAAAATCTAAGTAAGTTCTTCTACTGATTTTCTCCTAAGAGGAACCACTTTCTGAGAAAAAAAAAGAAAAAAAAAATTCTATGATATTTACTAAAAATGCTTTCTGAACCCATAATCTTTTAGAAAAGATTAGGACACTGGCAAGGCCAGAAACTAACCTATTCCT